TCCTGGGGGGGTGGACGGGGCATGTTGTAACAAAGGCAGCTTCCTTCACAGCCTTTCCTCACAGATCTAGTCATGCACAAGGGCGGCTCTGACTGATCTGAGGAGCCTCGTGGTGATAGGTCCAACTTTCCTGCAGCATAGAGAATTCCTCTAAGGAATTTCAGCAATAACAGCTCGTTTTCTAAACCGCTGTGAACTTTTTCACAGCTGGAATCTTCCTTGTGACAGGGTTTAGGGCTTTGTCTTTAGAGCAAATGCCCTAACTACCACTCCACTGTGGGCATGTCTGTTGTCCTCACTGCACAGCCAATGCCGCCTCTGGGATTTGTGGGAAGGAAGAATTGTAATCTCTCGGCCCATCCCTACCCAGCACACTCCTGGGTGAATGCCCTTACATCTCAGCAAAGATGAGCTGTGCTAGAAGGCTTTCCCACACTCATGGCACCCTTTCCCAAGGGTTCTCGGAGGTTTAGTAAGGGCTGAGCTTTCACTGAACAGTTCCCAAATTCAGGGCATTTAAAGAGTTCTTCCCTGTGTGGATTCTCCGGTGGCCAACAAGGACTGACCTCCCACAGAGGCTTTTCCTGTCCTTGGCAATTCACAGAGTTCCTCTCACCGTTGGGTTATCCAATGTGCTAGAACATAGGGGCACTGAGTAAAGTATTTTCTACTTAAACATCTGTCATGTTTCTCTCTCGAGATGTTCAAGGGCGTATCAGCTCTGACAAACTTTTCCCACAGGCACAGCAGTTAAACACAGTGTTTCATACAATTTTCCCGACACACCTGTGGAATTAATTTTTTTATGGGCACATCATCTCCACACTGATGTACAGAACAAAAATAATGTGGTGGGCATTCTCAGGGGTTGGATTTTGGGAAAGGGGCTCAGGACTGGGGAACAGGAGGATGTAGGGTAGGGCTGGGGATGAGGGACTCAGGGCTGAGAGAGGGGGCTGAGATGTGAGGTGGGGACAAGTCTCCATTTGGGAGTGTGGGCTGTGGGATAGGCCGAGGATGAGGGATTTGAGGTGCAGACCACGGAAGGCTACATCAGGGAGAGAAGACTGCCACCAGCTATGTCACTCCCAGGACAGCTGCTATTCTGGGGGAAGGGGTACTACTGGGGCTGCAGGATAGCTGACTGTACCCTAGCTGTGGCAGGACCGGACCAGGGTTGAGACCAGCGGGTAGAGGAATCTCTCCCCACTACAGCCCTAAGTGCTTGCATGTCACTTAATAGGCTGCTGCACATTCATATGGCCACGTAGCTAAAAGGGAACTTAGGTTACAGGGTTTCTGTCCTATGTTGATTCTTTGATAGTCAATGAGGTTTGTGTTCCGACTGAAGGTTTTCCCACAGTCAGAGCAGCTGAAGGGTCTCTTTCCTGTGTGGATTCTCCTATGTCTAACAAGGTCTGAGCTCTGAATGATACTTTCCCCACACTCAGAGCAGTTACAGGGTTTCTGCTCTTGTGGACTGTACAATGATTGTAAAGATTTGATCGACAACTGAAACTTTTCCCACAGTCAGAGCAGTTATAAGGTTTCTCTGCTGTGTGGATTCTCCTGTGTCTAACAAGGTTTGGGCTCTCACTGAAGCTTTTCCCACAGTCAGGGCAACTGAAGGGTTTCTCCCCTGTGTGGATTCTCCGATGTCTAACAAGATATGAGTTCTGACTGAAGCTTTTCCCGCATTCAGCGCAATTATAAGGTTTCTCTCCTGTGTGGATTCTCTGATGAATAATGAGACTTGAGGGACCACTGAAGCTTTTCCCACAGTCAGAGCAGCTGAAGGGTTGCTCCCCTGTGTGGATTCTCTGATGTTTAATTAGGTGTGTGTTCTGACTGAAGCTCTTCCCACAGTCAGAGCAGCTGAAGGGTTTCTCCCCTGTGTGGGTTCTCTGATGATTAATAAGATGTGAGTGCTGACTGAAGCTTTTCCCACAGTCAGAGCAGTCAAAGGGCTTCTCCCCTGTGTGGATTCTCCTGTGTGTAACAAGGTGTGAACTCCCACGGAAGCTTTTCCCACAGTCAGAGCAGTTGAAGGGCTTCTCTCCTGTGTGGATTTTCCAATGTCTAACAAGCTCTGACCTTTGACTGAAGTTTTTCCTGCAGTCAGAACAGTTGAAGGGCTTCTCTCCTGTGTGGGTTCTGTGATGAATATTAAGACTTGAACGTCTACTGAAGCTTTTCCCACATTCAGAGCAGCTGTAGGGTTTCTCTCCAGTGTGGATTCGCTGATGAATAAGAAGACTTGAGCGCCCACTGAAGCTTTTCCCACAATCAGAGCAGTCAAAGGGCTTCTCTCCTGTGTGAATTCGCCTGTGTCTAATAAGGAGCGAGCTCCTCCTGAAACTTTTCTCACAGTCAGAGCAGTTGAAAGGTTTCTCTCCTGTGTGGGTTCGCTGATGACTAATAAGACTCGAGTGCCCACTGAAGCTTTTCCCACAGTCAGTGCATCTGAAAGGCTTCTCCCCTGTGTGGACTCTCTGATGTAAAACCAGGTGTGAGCTCTGACTGAAGCTTTTCCCACAGTCAGAGCAGTTGAAGAGCTTCTCTCCTGTGTGGATTCTCCTATGTCTAACAAGGTGTGACTTCTGACTGAAGCTTTTCCCACAGTCAGAGCAGTTATGGGGTGTCTCTCCTGTATGCATTTTCTGGTGCTCAGTAAGGCATGAGCGTCGACTAAAGCATTTCCAACAGTTGGGGCATCTGAAAGGCTTCTCTCCTGTGTGGATTCTTTGATGTACAACCAGGTGTGATTTCTGCCTGAAACTTTTCCCACAGTCAGAGCAATTGAAAGGTTTCTCCCCTGTGTGGCTTCTCCTATGCCTAATAAGGTGTGACCTCTGACTGAAGCTTTTCCCACAGTCAGAGCAGTTGAAGGGCTTCTCTCCTGTGTGGATTTTCCAATGTCTAACAAGCTCTGACCTTTGACTGAAGTTTTTCCTGCAGTCAGAACAGTTGAAGGGCTTCTCTCCTGTGTGGGTT